AAGTATTTAAAACATTCACAAAGGGCACACAAAAGGCGTGAACAAGTGGAAAAACATATTTCCTGTGTTAGGTAGACTCAACATCATAAAGCTGTGGTAACTTAACATTTATTTAGATTATTTTATAAATTTAGTGAAATCTCTAGAAAATACTAATCATTTTTTTTTTGGTAGGGGAAAACAGTAGGCTAATTATTAAAGAAAAGTAAGGCAAAATAAACAAGAGTAGGAAAACTGTAAAGAGCAATGAGAAGAGGACTAATACTACCAAGTAATAAAATGTATTACCAAATATCAGTAATGTAAAAAATGTAGCATGAAAAGGTAGGCTGACCAGGTAACAGAAGAGAAAGTGCAGAAATATATGGAACACCACATAAGACTTTAGTATAGTATAAAGGATGCACCTCACATCAGCTGAGAAAAGGTGCATTAGTCCATAAATGGTGTTGGGACAATAGAGGATTCATCTATGGAAAAAAAAGTTGGAGCACCAGGAAATTTAACATATGGACCGATTAAAGGCATGGGGGCTGGGATGAAGAAACTATAAAAGTGGTAGAAAATACCGAAGATTCTTTTGTAACCTTGCAGTATATAAGAATTTTGTAACTAATTTAGAATCTAGAACCATTAAAGAGAAAAAAGGACTAATAATTTTTACCACATTAAAACAAACCCTTTTTGACCATAAAATAATACCATAAACAAAGTCAATTGCAAATGACAAATTCAGAAAAACCATGGAGAACCAGAGCTAAGATAGCATTCCCAATGTGCTTTTGAGATAGATAGGAAAAGCCACCCAATAGAAAAATAGACAAAAGACATGATCAAACAACCCATAGAAGACTAAGTAAAAAGTACTTTAGATATATAAAAATTATGTTCAGCCTACCCATTGTCAGGGACTGCAAAAACCCTGAGATCATGTTATGTTAAGTGACAAAAGAGTGAAATGGTGTATAGTGGATATTAATGAGTAAAACAAGTGGGAAAATGAGAATTTATATTTGTGTGTATATGCACAAAAATATCCTGGAAAGATACATAAGAAATTAACTGATTACCTGTTTGTCGGGGGAATTGTACAGGTGAGGACCGGTGTCGGGGTGGAGGGCGGGGGGAGGCTTTTACATTCTGTACTGTTTTAGGTTTGAATCATGTAAATTGTAGGGGAGGAAAAACTTCTCCTTGACCTTCTTAGGGCCCCTGGCTGGGCCTGCAAATTAAACTGACAAAGAGAGATTGGTAGGAGAAAAGCATATAAATTTACTTAATATAAGCTTTATGTGACTTGGGATCCTTCATGAGGAAATGGAGACCTGAAGAAACAGATAAGCCTGAACATTTTTATACTAGGTTTGATAAAGGGTGGGAACTTGTGGGAAAATGTGATAGGACAGAGGGTATGAGTCAATGCTAGGCCACTGAGGGAAACTGAGCAAGGCCTGTTGGTTAGGCTTCCTCTTCGCATTGTTCTGTCTTCTGAGATTAGGATGTCCCTTTGGGTATAGGGAGGGCACCCCTCACTAGAGACGCTTTGGGGAGAGGGGCAGATCAGAGAGGTCTTTGGTACCTGCGGTGCCTGTGACCTGCGTCGGGAGAATGGAGAGGTCAGAGAGTGGCTCCTGTCTCTGCTGCTTCTCAAATTGCTTCATCTTAAAATATTCAGTATACCAGCATGCCGTAATTTGGAGTGTTGCGTTCTGGACCCTATCAAATTATACTACCTATTCAATAATGTTTTTAAGTTTATTACATGATGAATATAATGTATATTCCATAAGTATAGTGCTTATTATGTCTGTGACTTGTTTTTCTCATGGGATTATTTCCCTTTGTTACTGAATTTACAATGTTATTTTTGTGACTAATTCCCTTACGTAGTTTTCTTAGGATAGCCTAGGCTTTCTGCTTCACACCTCTCTAGCCGGGTTGCATTAGGGGAGCATTTTAGAGCTTCGGTGTGAACTAGAGTATTTAGATTTGTATTCAAGGTGCTTTGCATAAAGTAGATCAGTAAGTACTTATGAACATACAGATATTTATAATTTGATTTTAACTATTACATCTGTTACCTTATACTATTGTTGTTGCAAGGTGTTGGGTCAGAGTCTTTGTAAAGATTTGTTATGTGTGGTAATCATATTGAGCTCTGCTTTTTGATTCTTCATATGGAAAGATGCAGCTATTTTTAAAGATGTATCTTATTAACTGTGGAAAGATTGGTAACCTAAGAATTAGAAGTGAGCATATCATGTGCAGTTGGTACTTCAATAGGAAAATAAAATAGAATGAAAAAGATGAATTTGCTTGAAAAAGAAAGCCAGTTCCTGAACATTACCTAACATTTAAAAGTCTAAATTTTTATAGGTTAAAAATTTTAAGTATATGATTAAACTGTTAATCCCTTGATGTATTCATCTTTTATCTCATAATTAGTAATTTTAAGTGCTAATTAAGTTGAAAGTAATGGCAAAAGAAATGTAGGTATTAGCTCATGAGTATCTTTAGTAGTTTATAGAAGTGCTTTCTAAACATTACAAACAGCTATAGATTAGCTATCAAATGATTGTGAAGATTAATGACTAGTCTTTTAGCTGGGTAATTTAGAACAGTATCTGGTAATTAATTAGGAATTATCGGTCACAGATACCTTTAGGAAAACAGTATCAAAAAAAGATAACAAGAGTGATAATTGCTCAATTGCCATTTAGCTTTTAGACTATTGGGGTAAACTGAGGGGAAATTTGAAAGTCAACTTCAGAATTTTAAAAGTATTTTTAATATTTGTATTTATTAAAGAAATTAAACAAGTTGGTTTGCTTAGGAAAGACAAAGCACTGTTTAGAACAGATTAGACTACAAATGGCGAGGCAGATACCATCCATGATATATATGTACTGGTTTTTACCCGAAGAAAATTTAATTTTCATGTGAATTTTTGACAAGCTGGAGGTTACATTTTGGAGTCAGGTACCTAGGCCTTTACAGGGGACAGGGCCCCATCACCCTTGGTGTTCTTATTTCAAAGGGATGGTTCCAGTGCCCTCAGAAAAGACATCCCCAGGATGCAGAACTAGCAAAAGTAAATGTTTATGATCTTTTAAGAAGGTTTATATACATCTCAAAGGACCAGAGAGAATATTTACAACTCAGGTTTCCTAAAGGAAATACTAGAGAGACTAGAAGGAGTTTTCTTTCCCTTTTGGCACCAGGGAAAATTTTAATTTTTCTAAGTTTGTATTTACCCTTGCACTACCCATTTTAGAGAGGAAAAATATGAGCAGCACAGAAGTCAATGACTAGTTCCATTAAGGCAGATACATTATGCTGAATAAATGAGGAATTGATCAAAACATTTAGTTGAAAGAAAATATTGGCTTTGTGGGAGTAAAAGAAAGCAATATTTTGTTAATGTTGCAATGCTATTTTACTCTTTGGTGTTGAATACATGAATTTCATTCTGAAATATTCAAAGAAGTCCCCCAAATATTTACTATTAAGAAAATGTTTACTTCTAAACATTTTTATTTTTAGCTGTACCACATTATGGCACAATTGTACTAGCATGTGATGAGTAAAGGCTACTTAATAGCTATAGAAGGATATGTGCATTTTATTTATACTTTTGTTTGCCTTGTATCCATGTGTATAAACAACCTGTGATTCAGAAAGGCCTGTGGATCTTTGGGCATCTATAATACTGCCACTCTTCCAAACTAGAGCCCAATTAAGGTTTGTTGACTAACGGGTCAGCTTACTATATATATATATATATATATATATATATATATATACATATATATACATATATATATATATATATTTTAAAGATTTTTATTGGGGAATTGGGGGGATGGGAACAGTGCTGGGGAATTGCGGGGAGGGGAAGAGGAACAGACAAGTTGCTGTCCTTTTGTTCTTCAGTCTAGTTGTGGGGGACGTTTCTTCACTGGCCCAAGTTGGCACCATCTTGCTCTCTTCCCCGGGCGAGGCAGATCAGTCGCAGGCTTCTGGACGGCCGCTCACTGCGGCTGCTGGCTGCTCACCCTGGCTGCTGGCCGCTGAAGCTGGCTGCTGGCCGCTCACCCTGGCTGCTGGCGCTCACGCTGGCTGCTGGCTACACATGGTAGCCCATGGCAACCCACTGCCACAGGGGCTGCAGCCTACGCCATCGCTGGCAACTCATGGCAGCCCAGCTCCAGGTTGAACTGTTGTTCAGCATCTTAGCTATAGAGGGCAGTGTCACTGGCCCTCATATGTGGGATCCGAACCGGGGCCCTCTGGCGTCCCATGCCAGTTCTTAACCATCGCGCCACTCGGCCGGCCCACTATATGTGTTTTAATAATGTAGGTTACAGGAACAAACAATTCACACATTGGCAAACTATAATTATGCCTATACTTTCTACATGTGTTATACTTTTTTTAAGAAGCTTTTCTCATTGAAACACCAGTGGCAATCACATAATGGTTGGGTATAGGATAGCAATCCTTGACGAGATAGAAAAATTATAAATCTTTGACATTAAAAATCATAGCACTCTGACGCTTTTCCTCTAATTGTTTTTCCATTTATTTGGACATATGTATCTGCTGAGGATATATCATGGGGTAATAGGTTTTCATTGCAGTTGAAACAATGTATTAATCTAGTTCACTAAGCACTACTCGATGGTACATACATAGATCCTAGTACAAGTTGTAAAGGCCAGTTAGAATAGTGTCTTCTTCTATGCATCTTTAAGAATAGGCTAAATAATGGTGTTTTCTATGTGGTTCGATGCCATATTACCTGTTAGGATTAAGGTTAGCTATAATTTTTTTTGATTAGAATTTTGTGATTATCATTTTATAAGGATACTACAGGAAAATTGTTTTATTGCATTATATAAGCCATGTATTTGAAAAATTGTTAAATACTATATTTTATGTTCTCTATGCTCTGTTCATTTCTTTTGCACATTTTGACTGATTATGTGTCTTTCATCTAGGTCACTTTTGAAATACACAAAGAAAACCTTGCCAATATATTTAGAGAGCACCAGGGAACTGTTGATGAAGAACTAGAGCAATATTCTTCAAGTTCAGTTCAAGCAGTCTCCGGCATCGGCAGGGATGTAAACGTTTCGGTAGGATCCCAGCAGTCAGATACAAACGATTCTCCTGTGTCTGCCCATGTTGCCAGAGATAGTGATGAAAAGTCAAGTACTGAGAAGACAAGTTCAGTCGACTCTGCATCCAACATTGAACCACAAACTCATGATACGCCTAACGGAGGAGGAGAAACAGGGCAAGAAAATCAGGAGTTACTGGATGAAGTCCCTTTAGAAGAAACACCTGTAAATGAAACAATTAACGCAGGTGATTTAGAAGTATCTTCTGACTTAATAGAAGCTGGGACCACTTCTTCTGATACTGTGAAAACAACTGGAAAAGACATGACTGTCAGTGAAGTAAGTGCTTCTGTAAGTTCCCCTTCAGAAGAGGATGCCTCAGAGGTGCCCGAATTACTGGATAAGTCTATAGGAGAAGAAGAAGATGATGATGACTATGTAGAGCTGAAGGTGGAAAGTAGTCCTAATGAGGAAGCCAGCCTACCCACAGAGCTCCAAAACAATAGTTTGTCTCCAGCTACAAGTAAAGCCAGTGAAAGACTCGACATGTTTCCTAATGACCAAAAATTAGAATTTCAAGAGGAGGAACCTGTAAGTAAGAAGCAAACTGATACTGAAACTCAAGATTCTAAAGATTCCGGAATCTTGACTATGACTGCGTCAGGGTCTTCAGCTACCTCACCAGACACTTCTGCTTCCCGAGCAACTGCACAATCAGATGCTGGTCAGCTGCCGGAGGAAGGGAAGAAAACAACCAACTTTGCTAGAGAAACCAAACTAACTAATGATTCTCATGGTAATGTGGAGTCTCTCAGTACTTCTGAGCAGAAGATTGCAAAGTTGGATGTTTCCAGCGTTGCCACAGATACTGAGAGACTGGAATTGAAGGCCAGTACAAACATGGAAGCATCGCAACCTCATCAACCTGCGCTTGAGGTGATTATTCTTACTGTCTTCTTGAAATGTATTTGCACGAATTAAAATAGAATAAGTGTATATACTTCCATTTTGGAATTGGTTATATCTTATGTGCAATTACGTAATTGCAATGAATGTAAATCTGTTTCTTTAATGCAGGGTTTGGCTTTTAGTATGAGTTCTTTTAATGGCAGCTTTATCGTTATTCTTTTCACCACAGCATCACCAAAAATCACCACTTTCAAGTCTCAGGATTGGCATAGTTTTAGTTTCTAAAGCAAACATTGGAAATGCTTGCCTTTCACCCTGCGTTTGATAACCCAATCATAGTTAGCACATTAGTTATACAACAAAATCTAGCACTACTTTCCTGGCGAACCACCTGCCCGTGTATAATTTTTATACAAAGTATGTGGTTTAAAATCGTTCCATATGGTTTGTTTACTATATAAGAGGGAGGAGGTGCCTCTGTGAGATGGAGGGGCTCGGTGGTCTCCTCTCCCGCTGTCCCACTTGATTCAACTCGCTTCTGTCTTCCTCTTTCCTGTTGGTTTGTTCTTCATTCTATTGTCTTTATTTTTGTTCTTAATTAACAGCCAATTTATAATCCACATAATACCTTTCTTTCATGAGTATGCGATACTCAAAGAATTTGATTCCTTTATAAAATGCTACATTAGCTGGTGGTAATATTAACATGGTTCCAAGCTAATTGATGAATAGTGGTAGTTTAGCACATTTGGTAACTTTGCTTCGAATGTATTAAAATATTGCTACTCATTGATCATTTTTCTCCTATTTGGTATCCTAAAATGTATTCGTTAGATTAATTGCATAGAAACTATTAAATTACTTAATTCCTTCCTTCCCTTGCCATTGAACTTGTTTTATTACTCTTTTTCTGTATTAGACATCAAGGCAACAGGAACAGTCAGGGCCAGAAACAGCACCAGAGGCCGTTAATGGACAAAGGAGGGATTCCAGATCTATGTTTCGTATTCCTGAGTTCAAATGGTCTCAAATGCATCAACGATTGCTCACTGATCTGTTATTTTCAATAGAAACAGATATACAAATGTGGAGAAGGTTTGTCCATAAGTTTGTTATAGAAGATGTGTATAAACTTAAGTCTTTGTTTTCAAAGGAATTTATATAGTTAACATTTTTGGTTAATTACAGATATTTGGTTAAAAAGTAGATTATAAGTTATTCCTATCATAAAGTTGTACTGAATTAACTTTTACTCTTTTTTATTATTATTATTATTATTATTATTATTATTATTATTGCTTTCAGTTGTTTGTAATTTTTTTTCTTTTTTGTTAAAGTTTATTGGGGTGACAATTACCCTCCATTATTAAAATGACTTACCCTGTCTGGATTACAAAAACTTGAAAATTGGGGATATTTTTCTTTTAAAAAATTTGCTGAACATTTCCTGTGGCATATTGTACAGTATATAATTCACCTGAAGGTAGATCTACCAAGTGGGTTTACTACTAGAAGTACTAAAAAAAAAAAATTGGGATTTAAGTATAACATCCAATTCTCCAGTGTATTTTTGACATTAAAAACCTGTGTATGTCAGATTATCCTCCATTATGGTTTATGATTTTAAAAGTGCCTAATTTGTTTTTGTTATTTGTATACTACTTTTATTTGGTTTAAAAGCACTTCATGGCATTATCTAAGAAAATGTTAGTAAAAAATTCATTTTTAATAGTACGTTTAGCACCTTTTATCTCTCAGTTTTTGCTGCATGACTTCTCAGTTTTGTCCCCAGTTAAGGATAATTTAGTTGAACCTTTTCTATCAAGTGTAAGATGAATAGTATTTGTGTCTCAGCACTGAAACGGGCTTGGATAGTAACTGCTGTTGTGGAATGGTCCGCATCTTCTGAGGAAGCGTGCACCCCCTATGCCTGCGGCACCATTAGCTTTCCTCCACTTTCCAGATGAAGCTGCAGAACCTTCTTATCCTCCCTCCCCTCAAGTAGGCAAATTGTGATTTCCTTTCTTTAGCGTTATCAATAAACATCATTTATCTTTGGACAGCCATTCAACAAAGACAGTTATGGACTTCGTGAATAGCAGTGATAATGTCATCTTTGTACACAACACAATTCATCTCATCTCTCAAGTGATGGACAACATGGTCATGGCTTGTGGGGGTATACTGCCATTGCTTTCAGCTGCTACATCGGCTACAGTAAGGACTTGCCTACTATATAAAATTGGTGTGAAAACATGACTTTTTGTGCATCTTTATTGATTAAAACTTGAATGTGGTGGTGACTATGCATCGTAGGTGCTGTAAATCAAAAGCCACAGGAATGAAGGGACTAAAAAGAATGTTGATTTCTGAGGCATGAGTCAGCTAGTCAGTATGATTGAAGGTGTTTCACCTGTCTGTTTCCTTTGCCTTGTTTTTAGATGAAATGATAAGGAAATTGCTCTGTTGTACTAGATTTCTGAAAGCCTGGAGTTTTATAAAATTTAGGACTTTAGGGAATATATCTAATAAAATGAGATTTTTATCAGAATATAGATGTAATTGTCAAACTTTATTCCTTACAGCATGAACTAGAAAATATTGAACCCACTCAAGGCCTTTCAATTGAAGCCTCTGTGACATTTTTGCAAAGGATAATCAGTCTTGTGGATGTGCTAATATTTGCAAGTTCTCTTGGCTTTACCGAAATTGAAGCTGAAAAAAATATGTCATCTGGAGGAATTTTACGGCAGTGTCTCCGTTTAGGTGAGCTGTTAAAATGCATAAGTTATGAGTTTACTTTAAAAATTTGCTGTAATCCAGACATATTAAATTGAAAATTGTCTTTCTCCTGTTGGGCAAATGTGTGCTAGTCAATTGTCATATGCCGTTTTTTAACTTTCAGAGAGTGAAGGACTTAGGTACATACTATGCTGTCGTAATAACAGTAGCTGTGAACTTGGACAGAGGAGGAAGGACATGTTTTGAAAAGTCTGCTAAGTTGATTCTTGTCAGCATTAGCCTTCTTCCCATAATCGCTTTTATTTGTTGTTGTTCTCATGTAGTGCTACTCAAATTTTAAGGTATTTCATTCACATTAATCACCTGCGAGGATCTTCTTAAAATGCAGTTTAGATTATATGGGTCTGGGATTAGGCCTAAAATTGTCTTTCTATAAGAAAAAGTCTGGGGTGATGTTTATGGTACTTCTGTTACTAACACACTTGAGTAGCAAGGTTCTAAGCTATTGGGTTGTCGGAAAAGTCATGATGTATTTTTTTCTATGTTTTTCATTGCAAAAATGCATCATGACTTGTCCAACAACCCAATAGTACCATTTAGGTATAACCTTTATCCAAATAAGGTGGGCTAATTTGTTAAAGCAGTTAATAAGATTATTAAATTTCTGTTATTTTCCTGGAGGCAATTCTTTCTTAGGTTAAAAAAAAGTTAAAATACATGAAAACAATTCATAGTGTTATCTGGGCTTCCTTAGGTGAAGCAAAGTTTTTTTCTTACTGCAGAAGGTTTCCTGAATCTAGTTGTAAATAATGAAACTTTGTTAACAATTTGCATATTAAATGGAGAGAAGTAGGTGGAGGTAGGGCCAGGACATGGAAGCAAAACCATTGTATGCTATAGCTTATGAAGACAGTTCAGAAATAAGGCACCTATGAAAATATAACATCAGAAGTGGAAAATCTAATTAATGAAATATTTCTCATATTTAGCAAGAATATATTATATAAACTGAGATGTACTTGTATTTAGTCTTTCTTAGTGCGATGATTATTGTTATTCAAAATGCTGTTCAAAGTACTTTTAAACTTAGGATGTTGTAACGAACATGGTATAATAATTTTTAGAAAGTTTTAAAATTTTAAGTGAAAAAGATTCAAATGGTGAGCATCACAAAACAAGTTATTATTTATTAACTACTGTCATTTGTCATTACTGAAGATGTTCACAGTGAGTCAGCAATGTTCTTTTTGTTTGTTTTGTTTTTTATTCATGAGGAAATTGAGATCAGAGAAATTATAAAACATCAAAATTGAAAACCTGTAATTGGTGAAGTTGGAATTTGAATTAATGGTTTGTTTAACTAGTGTTCTTTTTCTCTGTTATAGCATACTCCCTTAAACTTTCTATTAGGAATATAATTAAAATATTTAGACTCCATTGCGTTTGTATATTTAAAAAGTATTGCGACTTTAGTAAAAAAATGTACATTTCTGAATTAAAAACACAAGGCTACATTAGCAGAAAATACAAGGCTACATTAGCAGTGCTTCACTAGGTGCAAGAAATTTTAGATTCCGAAGCTAGGGAATATTGTCTCGCCCTCATTTTCATAGCTGTAGAAGAAAATAAAGAGAAAATTCAGTCTACCCCAGCACCATCTCTTAGATATGGAAATAAGACTCGGAAAGTAACTTGCCCCAGATCACTTCATAGAGCAGCGGTTCTCAACCTTTCATAGGGGTCGCCTAAGAACATCAGAAAACACATATTTTCGATGGCCTTAGAAACCGAGACACCGCTCCTCTATCCGTCTCCATGCAGATACGCCCACATATGAGTACCCGGCGACCCCTGTGAAAGGGTAGTTCAACCTCCAAAGGGGTCGCGACCCACAGGTTGAGAACCGCTGTCATAGAGGATGGTAAGCTTGGTAACAGTCCACACGTGTTGATCCCTGGTCTCCTCATTCCTGTTCTCTCCTGAGGCTGGGGAAGGAGGATAAGATGACAACACTAAGGGAGTAACCTGTATACCACTGAGACAGATTCACACTGGGCAGTCTTGTGTGGTGTTCACTTTGTCATGAAGATCCAAACTTGATTTTATGCACCCTGTGACGAAAGTAGTATAAAAGTGATTTTCCTGGGCTTGATTCCAAATCTGATAGTTGTATTCCATATTCTCCCTTCTTGCCTGCCTCCCTTCCTTCTTTTTAAAAAAAACTTTTGTTGCCCTCTTCTCAATGGGCCCTAACAGAGAAGCTAACAGAGTCAGAAAGCGACAGTAGGCAGGTGAGCAAGTCCGGGGGCATTTCAGGGACTTGGTGAAGGTAACCTGTTTCAAGTGAAACCTTATGTAACTTGTGTAGTGATTCTTGTCAGTTCCGTTATCTTAAAGATAACTTTCTTTTCTTACCCGATCTTGTCCTTGAAATGAATAACAGTGTGTGCAGTGGCAGTAAGAAATTGCTTAGAGTGTCAGCAGCATTCACAGCTGAAAGCTAGAGGCGATTCAGCGAAAGGCCAGAGAGCCATGCACAGCCTGATTCCTGTGGGGAAGTCCGCAGCAAAGGTAAGCACACAGAATATTGAATTAAGTAAAACATACTTTTATTTTACAATTAAGATCTTCAATTTATTTGTTTATTTCAACATAAAGTTAAATACATCTGACAGAGGTCCTACAATAGTTATTTTAGTCTGTGGACATAACATTCAAATATTTGTGTTGAAATATTCAGTAAAGATTTGCTTATACTTAATCTTGTCTGCTTTTCTGAATGTTTACTTTTCTTGTGTCTATGATACCTTTTCCCTTCAAATATGTTAATTTGTAGTTCATGTACTTGGTGAGTTAGCGTGAACATGCTGTTTGTTTTTTCCTTCATAGCTCTGTCCTACACCTCTATCGCAACACCCATAAAAAGAACAGAGAAAGAAGTAGGAAAAATAAACAGGGAAAAACAATCTTATGGCCTTCTTTTCTGGTTCTTGGAATACTGTGTTTATTTCTTTGAATATCTGTGTAATGTATATGTATATATTTTTTGTCTCAGAGTCCAGTGGACATGGTAACTGGTGGTATATCTCCAGTAAGAGATTTTGACAGGCTCCTACAAGACATGGATATTAACCGCCTTAGGGCAGTTGTCTTCAGAGACATTGTAAGTTATAATATTTCTTTCACATACTCTCTTAGCTGACTCTTAATTTTCTCCTAGGCCCAGTGTATTGAGAATGAAAGGTCTTGGTGATATAAAATAGTTGAGCAGAGTTAAGAAGACCTACAAACCAATTCTTTGGACAGTGATTTTAGAATTATAGAATATTGGAAAGTATTATTTATATAAATGGCGCTAATATATCAGAGTAATGATACTAAAAGGAATAACATATTATTACATAGTAAGCACTGTAAGTGCTTCCCGTTAAGTCCAACAACTTCTAGAGTTTTGTACTTTTGTAATTTCCATTTTATAAATTAATCTGAGGCAGAGAGAGCTTGAATGAGGAACTTGTTGGAGCTAATGGAGCCAGTAAATAATAGGATTCAGACTCAGCAGCCTTAACTCCAGAAGCCATGCTCTGAAAGTAATGAAATGTTTAAATTTTGAATGACCTGTTTTTTTACTGGAATATTGGATATTTTTCTCTCAAAGGAGTGCAAATATAATGTAGAAGTGCATGATGAAATGTTGTGTTTGGTATTTAAAATTTTTTAAATGAAAAACAGTTATGCTTTAACTGATTTTGGCTGAGTTTCATGTAGAAATTGTACAGTCATATAAGAAAGTATAACGATGAAAATAAATCATTTGTTATCCTACTCATCTGGTTGTGGAGTATTGTCATGAATTAATATTTATTGAACACTTACTGTGTGTTAAGTACTAGATATTCTATATATTATATAAGTTTTAAAATAAATTTTATAACTTCCATTTTTCATTTTCCCTCCTCTTTTCTAGTGTTTTCAGTCCTCTCTTGAGTCTTTCACTAAGTTTTATACATTTATAAAATTTTTAGTAGTACAATTAATAGTTATTGAACACTTAACTGTGTATTAAGCATAGTATTGGATGCTCTGTGTGTATTATCTCATTTAATTCATACAATAATCCTATGAGAAAGATAGCAATATTAGGTTAAATAATCTGCTTAAGATCACACAAGTAGTAAAAGGTGGAAATGGGTTAAGGATTTAGAGAGTCTGATTCTTGAAACATTAATGTTAGCCAGTTGGCTATACTGCCTCCCTAGATCTCAGTTTTTTGCTTTTTGGTAGCTGTTATTACTCCTTTAATTAAGAAACCATCAACTTTTGTTTTTTTCTGCGTCTACTGACTGTGCTTTATTTTGGAACCAAATATTGCTGCTTCCTGGTCTCCCCATTCTCTTTTCTTGAACAGATGTTGAGTCTCTTGTCCCATAACTTTGTATTTTCTAGAATAATCTTTAAAAATCTAGAATGGATGATATAACTCTTTTTCTTTAAAAATTCTCTAATATCTCCCCATAACACTTAAAATCAAAACTGCTCATCCTGGCTCTATATGGTTTGGCCCTTTGAAACTTTCCAACAAACTACTATATCATAGTATTTGGACAGAGAATTAGAATATTTCCTATGTCTGCCATACCATTTTTGCAAGTAACATAATTTTAATTTTTTGTAATTATAAAAGTTATACAATCACCTTATAGGATTTTTAGAAAAGAGAAAAGTCCATATTCCCCAAACTATATCCTAGAGCCTCTTCTACCTTAAGTAAACTTTGATGAAAAAAGGAAATGATGTAAGATTGGGAATATAAAGAAATTACTGTCTTGAGGTTAAGAGCTCAGGTTATTTAATCACTCTAATCTGAGTTCACTTTTGCTTTTCACTTAATATACAGGTGTTGGTAAATTACATCGCTTCTCTAGGCCTCATCTTGTTCAAATGGGTTAAGGAACATGTATGAAGTACATAGCATAGTGCCTGATTCACAGGAAATAGTCAATAAAAGCCACAATTTATTTCAGGGGTTTAGTTAGTAAACATTGAACATATTAATGGGCTAAATAAGGATTTAGATAGGCATAAATAATTTATAATAGGTTAAGAAATTAAGACCAAGTAAGTAATTTGCCTACATTTTTAATGATATCATTAACATCAGTTATTGTACTAGATGACAGGATTGTGTGGCGGAGGAACACATGTCTAGGGAAAGGGATGGTTAAAACAAAAGGAGAAATGTATCTTTATCTTTGACATCAAGATTAATAACTTTTTACACGTTAACCTAAAAAGTACCATAGATTCTTGTCAGATTACAAATATGTCTGATGTATCAAGTTGATATGTTCAGGTAGAGCCTGATATCTCATTTTTTTCCCTGAAAATGATGTGTGCCAAAACTTGAGTGAATTATTAACTTTTAGTTTTATTTGTAGCATTCGTTTCCATTTATTTATCTGCTAGACAACAATGTTCTTTGTTTTCCTTATGCTAAATTTATCTGCTACTTGAGGTACCTTTCGTTTTCAGGATTTGATGGACAAATTTGAGTTTTTCCTTTAAATTAAGTTTAAACCTATTTTGAAAAGTTACTTAGGATAGTGATGTGTTGAGGGTTCCTTTGAAGCTGGGGAATTTGACCGGATGAAGCGGTCACTGATGTACAGCTGTACAGATGATCTGCAGTAGAGCTTAGGATGAGGCCCGGCCCCCTAGTGTGTCCTTTTCTTTCTGGTAGACACTATATTTTCAATCCTGGACACTTGGTTGTCTGTACTATTTAAAATACTCTTAGGAATTCCTTTGGCATCCTGTTATGTATCTGATACCCTTACTTTCTTCTCTTGAATGTTTGTCTTTTATGAAAACTGTTATTGTGATGATTTTACAGATTTCAAGTCTTATAATTAGAAGAATGATTTTTCATATATAATGATAATTGCCATTTGATGAATATTATAAAGTATATTAAGATGTGTTTCTTCAGATTGAGTTACTTAATTTAAAAAAGAGCCAACTTCTTCCTTTTCGTGTTTCATAAGCATAAAACCTCTCCTCTGTGGGCATTTTTCCAAGAGAGTTTGTGTGATTTTTGCTCAGTTGAATTCATTATTTTCTGCATAATTTGGAAGATTCATAAACATGTTTTATAGTTAAATATCGTCATGTAAAATAAAACGTTTATTAATGGCATGATCAACTTCTTTTATTTTTCCTCAGGAGGATAGCAAACAAGCTCAGTTTTTAGCCTTGGCAGTTGTGTATTTTATCTCTGTTCTCATGGTGTCGAAGTACAGAGACATTTTGGAGCCCCAACACGAAAGGCGCAGCCAGTCATTCAGGGAATCTGGTAGTGAAAGTGTGACTTTATCACTCTCTGGTAAGTTCCCATATTTTATTCCTTGGCATATTCCAAAGTTCAGGTAAAATGTTACCTCCTTACAATAGATAAAATACTGATTCTGAAATTTATAATAACTAAATATTTTAAGTACCATGTAGTTAATGGTAACTGGGAGATGATTTCTGTTCTTTAAATGAGCCATCTGATTAAAAAGTGAGAAGATGTTATCCTTTTCACGTAAAGTATTAAACATTTTTGTGTAAGCATTTGTTGTGAGGAATACGTAACTCATAGTCTCTTATAAGAGACAGAATTTATTAGCAAATAACTGTAATAATTGGAGTTATAGAAGTAGGTGCCAGTTATAAATGAATAGTGTGAGAAGCAGCTACTGCAGTGATAGAAGTAGCTGCCTTTCACAGAGGCTATTTTTTTATTCAATAAATATTCATTTGGTATATACTAGGTACTTGGGTATATTCATATACAAAAGGGAAAAAAATGTTTGCCCTCAAAGAGGTTGTATTCTAGTGAGAGAAGATAGAAAATAAATACATGTTATAGGTAAATTATACAGTATTTTAGAAGGTGGTAAGTACTAAGAAAAGAAAATAATCAAACAGGGAAAAATATCAGGAATATGATCAGGAGAAGTGGGATGTGGATTTTTACTCTAAGGATAATGGGGAATTATCGGAGGCTTTTGAGTATAGGAGTTACCATTAATGTTTTTAATAGTTACACTCTGGCTTCTGTGTTGAGAATATACCCTAGAGAGCATGGAAAACCCAGTGTTTTAGTCATGTGCTGCTGTGTAACACATGACATTGAAGCTTAGTGGGAAAACTTGAAGTATTTTAGTCTTGTCATTTATGATCCTGTGGATCCTGTTTGGACAGGGCACAGTGGTAAAGATTCATCTTTGCTCCAGATGATGCTTGCTGGGGCCGGGAAGTCTGAGATGACTTCTCTACTCATATCTAGTGGCTCAGCTAGGATGGTCCAAGAGCTGGGGCCGACTGACTGAAATGGCTTACATGGGATTATGTGTCTGGGGCCTTGCTGCTTGCTCTCAGCTGAATTCCTTGCTTTTCCTCCGTTAGTTTGGAGGGTCTCTCTCTCTTCATATGGTCTCTCTCCATGTTCTCTCCAGCAAGGTAGCCAGACTGCTTACAGAGATGTTCAGGGATTCCAAGCATGCACCAGCAGCCAGACCTTCTTAAAGCCTGGGCACAGAACTTGCCCGTTGTACTTCTGCATCATTTTATTGGTTAAAGTAAGTCAGGCCCAGCCCAGATTCAAGAAGGTGAATACGAAGCATGGGCCAATAGGCTTATTAATATAACAGTCTAATAATACAGCCAGTCAGGAGGATATATACAGTAATCCAGGCAAGAGATGATTTAGAGATAGACTAGGGTCGTAGCTGTAGAGCTAGTGAGCAGTAAGTAGTCAGATTCTGCGTATATCTTGATGGTATAGAAAAACGGGATTTTAAAATATTAGGTGTGGTGATGTGAGAGATGGAGGACAGTCAAGAATGATTAAAGGTGCAGCTGGATAGACTGAAGGTGAAACATGTTCAGGGAAAGATAAATTCAGTTTTCAACAGGTCGATGTCTTCTAGACGTAGAAAATGTAGAGTAGGCAGTTACATATAATAGTCTGAGCTTTCCTTGTTTTTTGATATAATGGTATTTAAAACTTTGAGAGGAAATCCTCCACTACGGGAATAAATGAGGAGCGAAAAGAGGACTAAGGACTGAGTACTAAGTCCGTCCAATTAAGAAATCTGGAAGAAAAAGCGAAGCGAATTCAGAAGGAACAGCCAGCGAGATAGATGAAAAACTGGAAGCACCCGCTGCTTCTTTGTCAAGTGCTGCGAGGACTGAGAACCAACGACTTGGGGTAGCAAGATAGAGCGTTTTGTTGGAATCGAGTGAACGCCTGCTTGGAGGGCGTGAAAGAGAGAAAATGGTCCTTGAATTATTTAAGGATTGTTGAGTTATTCATACATGTAGGAGGGGTAGCACTGGAAACCTGTTTGAGGTAGAGGTCTCGAGGTTACTGTCGAAGAGATGCAATGTATAGAGGCACAGAAGCCCAGAACATTGTCCCATGTTCAGCAGACTGCAGGTAATTTGCTGTTGTAAATTAATGTGATGGCATGAGCAGCAGGAAATAAAGTTGGAAATGAATGCTCATCTGGTACATATTTATTGACTGCTTACTACTTGCCAGGCCTTGTGTCGGCCCCGACACTGTGATAGGCGCTGGAGAGGAAGTGTGAGAGGAGACAGCAGCTCTCCTGGTGAAGTTTGCATTCCAGTAGACTTACAGTATCGAAGAGCCTTGTGCTCTGTCCTACGAGTTTTGGACTTTTTCTTGTAGGCCAGTGGCTTTCAGCCTTGTTTTGCTGTCCATTGGTATGTCATGTTCAGTTTAGAGGCTTTTCTCAGGTATTTTGCTATTCATATTTGTTTATTTTTTATTATGCCATCTACTTTGATTAGAGGCACATTTAGTCAGTACATTTTATAAATTATGTAATATATGTTTGCCTTTTAGAACATGCTGTATATTTTCTAATTTAAAATAATAGATGGCTTTAGGACTGATTGTACCGTTTTTTTGTTTTTTTTTTTTTTTAGCTGAGCCATTCTGCCACCTGTTGGCAGCTCAGCAGCAGCTCAGCTCCGGCCAGGACTTGATCCGCCGTTGCTCAGAGCTCAAACCTTTGAGCGAGCTCTTAACCAACTGAGCCACTTGGCCGGCCCCTGAATATACCTTTTTAAAATTGGTTTTCAGTTTTTTTATTTGTACTTTTCTTCTGTTTCTGGGGAAGATGTAGAAAACACGCCAGCAGCGTTCAGCCCGTTAACTCCAGCATCAGCAGAAGAATCTGAAAGCACATCATCTGCCCGAAGGAGGGACTCGGGCATTGGGGAGGAAACAGCTACGGGCTTAGGAAGCAGCGTGAATGTATCTCCCCCTCCAGCCTCTCCGGGTGTCAGTGCAGGCCCCGATGCCATCAGCGAGGTGCTGTGCACTCTTTCTTTAGAAGTCAATAAATCTCAGGAAACCAAAAATGATGGAGGAAATGAGTTGGATCACAAGGCTGCACCATCAGTTCCAGTTTCAAAAAATGTCAACGTCAAGGACATCCTCCGAAGTTTGGTTAGCATCCCAGCCGATGGAGTCTCAGTGGACCCTGCCCTTCTGCCGCCAACCTGCCTCGGAGCTCTTGGGGACCTGTCTGTAGAACAACCTGTGCAGTTCAGATCTTTTGACAGGTACTATAAGTAGTTTTTGAGTTTTGTACGCTTATATTGATAAACTATAAAGATTTGAAGGGTAAACAGGAATTGAATTCTGCTACGTTTTGTAGCTTCAGTGTTAAAAAGGGATGTTTTAATCTCATTTGTAAAAACGACAAGGATATTTTTGTTGTATGGTTTGTATACCATTTCAAATTTTTATTTATCAACATATCAATAGGATGATTTGAAAGTAATTTTAATGTTACACTGGCAAGTTGTATGTTAAGTATTTTTTTTGCTTGCGATTTAGAAATCACCTGCACTCACAAATGACTACCTTTCACTCCCTTGCTATCGGTACAGTGCCAGCCTTTGTGATAAAAATCCGTGGATTCAGGCAGACCCAGGTATTCAAAAAGGCGTTCAGAGCCTTGGCAGCTTGAGGGAGCTGACAGCGGATCCCTGGCTTTGTTGGTTCTGCTGCCCTAAGAAATGCTTTGATGATTTACCTGATTTTCTTTGTGTTATTAAATTTTCTGAAATTCTACCTACAAAACATGTATGTATTAAGAGTTGTTAAACATATTCTTTTCAAAAATCAATATTTTTATGTGGAAACAAGCTCTAACTTATACAGAAGCAGCCAGTTAAAAGAACTGTGTTCCTCCCTGAGTCATTTGAAAGGAAGTTAACATAAGACTCTATCCCGTTTGAATATTTTATTGTATATTTTTTATATAACCACAATACATTTATCAAAATACAATTAACATTGATAAAATACTACCTCTATTCTTCAGCTGCCTTTCACTTTTTATCAGTTGTCTTAATAACGCCCTTTATAGAAGGATCCAGTTCAAAGCAATGCATTGTGTTTATTCTCCTTCAACCAGGAAGAATAGTTCCTTTGTCTTTCCTTGAATTTAATGATCTTGATACTTCAGAGCTGATAGTGCAGATGTTTTATAGACTAGATTTGTCTAATGTTTCCTCGGGATTAGATTCAAGTTAATGCGTCTTTGGCAGGAATATCACGGGTGGCACTGTTTCTTGTTGTATTCTAACATGTGGCACATGGTTTTATCTCATTACTGATGTTCATTCTGATCATTTATTAAAATAGTATTTTCTCGGTTTCTCCATGGTTAAGGTTCTCCTGAGAAGGGATACTACTGTGAAACTCGATCATCCTCATCAAATGCATTCAGTTCATTAATTATCTGGCCCTATGGTTTCCTGTTTTATTGGATTTTCGGAAAAGTCATGATGCATTTTTGCAACAAAGAAGATGGAAAAAATACGTCATGACTTTTCCAACAACCCAGTAGTTAATGGGTTATAACCTGTTGTTGTTATTTATTTTGACACTCAAATAGTCTCCGATTTAGCGAGTGGAATTCCCTTCCAGTGGGACTCTATTCTCATCATTTTTTCCCTTTGTCCAGGTGTTACTTCATTGTGTCTCTGGTTCTCTTTATTTCTTCTCATCTTCTAGTTGTCTACTTCAGATTTGCTGGGTGGGCACATTAGGTATCCAAGCCGGTTGAAATGGTTTATGGTAATTAAGATGTTCTGAAAGAACACAGGGGACATATAATTTTAACGGAGAATCTTTGTGCCATCATCCTCTGTCATCTTGTTCCTTCTACCACTTAAAGGTTAGGTCAGTTTCCTGGATAATGAAACTGAGTCTACATTCAAGGTAAATAGCGCATTGGTATTTCTATAATATTTTAGATATGGTGGCTGCTAGAGTCAAATGTCTTTTTTTTTTTAATAAGGTTTATAATATAGGTGTTAAGATACTGGTTTTAGTAATCAGACATATCTGAGTTTGAGTTCTGGCTCTCTCCCTCACTAGTGCATTTGGACAAGTTACCTCATCCTCCTGAGCCTCAGTTTCCTTATCTTTTAGTTGTGTAATACTATACAGACATTAAAGAGGAAAAGAAAACCAGAACTGTATGGATTGATAGGAAATGATATAGAGGATGTATTATTCTATAGCACTTAGCATGAAGAAATCACTCAATAAATAAAAACTTAGCTATCATATCTAATGATACATTCAGTTACTACTTTGTGTATGTGTGTACATATAGACACTGAATTTTCTAAATACATAT